GAGGAGTTGGCTTAGCTGAGGCGTGAGGATGGTGCACCAGGCAATGCAGGAACCCTTTTGGGCTTTGGCATGGTGCAGGAGAGGTGGGACTGATGGCCTTGTGGGCTGGTGGCCTTGGTGTTTAATAGGACTGCATGGTCTCTTTGGACATCTACCATGGTCCAAGCTAGTGCAAGTCTGTGTTTCTGCACTTTGGTGAGTGTTACTATGAATACACTTTTGTCAGATATGTAATGTTTTCCCCTACAAAATTGGTATTTTGGTATCAGACAACCCCAAAACTCAGGGACTGCTTAGAGGAGCCATGCCCCAGTCCTGCCCTGAGCACTGGGGTTTCACCCTTTGCCCCTAAGCTACTAAGGGCTCAAGCATAGTCTGATGGGCTGAAGCCACCCAGACACAGTGAGACGGTCAGTTCTGGCTCACCATCCTGGTGCTTGCAGAGCCTCACAGCTGGGAGCATCACATCTCGGAGCAGGCTGGAGCAAGCCAGCTGGCTCCATGCACTCCATGCCCATGGTACCACCAGGAGCTTGGCTATAGCCATGCCATGGCATTGTTGTGGTATTGACAGGCTCTGAGCTGGAGCCAGGACAGCAGATGGCCGTGATGAGCAGGCAGGGGGCCACAAGACCATGGCACTGGTCACAGCACAGCAGCTGCCTAAATGGGAATATCCATCTGCCCCAGGACAAGCTGTCTCTGGCTCCCAAGGCAGGGTGCCTGGCTTTGCTGATAGCCTCTTGCCTGGGCTCTGCCCAGCCTCCTGGTAGAGTGGAAGATGCTCTGACAATCCCACGGTTGCCAGGTCTCATGCAGAGATGCCTGGTGCCAGGTTTGGGCTGGTGCGACAGCATAGCTTTGTGTACAAGGACACATTGGTTGCCTTGTCCGCACCAGTGGTGGGACAGAATCATTAGCCCTGTTCTTCACCAGCAGGCATGTGAATCCTTGTCCAGAGGACAGCATGCAGGTAGCCCCTGTGGAACCCTCCTTGTTGCCAGGAGGATGGTCATGACGTGACAAGGAGCATGCGGTCCGAGCGCAGCCCCAGCTGTGCCTGCCCCTGCTCAGAGCGGTGGGAAACGGCCCCTCATCCATGAACAAACCTCACCTTGGTCTGCAAAAGCTGGCTGAAGGAGGTGCAGGTGGGAGGATGAACCTCCAAGGGAACCTGTTAAGATGCTTATTGAAATCTAGGGAGTTTAGTGCGTGACTGAAAGCCTAAAGGAATAATTTTTCATGTCTGTCCTGTTAAATGTCCACTAAGGACAGGGGCTAGACAAGGGAGAGTGTTTATGTTAGGGTAAATTCCAGGTGGTCTCTCTCCTTGGGCTTCTGCGACATGACTCCACTGGTGTAAATCAGAGCAGAATTTGACCAATTCTATCTAAAGAAGATTTTTTTCCTTGACAGGTTTCATTACATAAAGTACTTCATGGGTTAAATCACTAAAATGCCCAATCTCATTATAGTGCTGTGAAGTGAATCCACTGTCTTGGTCCCCTGGGAGGAGAGAGAGACATCCCCTGTTGCCTGACACTTGTTTAATTCTGGAGCTCACAAAACCTCTCTGTTGGGGAAAACACCTGCTCTGCTACAGTGGAGGCAAAACTTGTGTGGATACATCGCAGCATCTTTCTCTTTGGGAAGGAGAAATCTCCCAAACTTCTCTCCTTCCGGGCATTTCCAAAGCCTGGCAGAAGGGAATTCCCCCTCCCGCCTGCTCTCACCCATTTTCTCTCACAGCTGTTTTTGTTGCCACCTTGTGAGTTAACCCTTGGCTGCTCTTTTGCCAAACTGGTTATATTTAAGAAGCCAATGTGATCTGTCTGGGGAAGAGAATCTGAGAGCAGAGAGGAGCAAACCGCCAGCCACAGAGCTGCTTCTTGGAGTGGCTGATCTTTGCCTGGGGCAGCAGCCCGGGGGCAGCTGGAGGAGAGGGGGATACCCATCGGGGAGCAGAGCTTCCTGCTGTGTTTGCGGAGTTTACAGGCTGCGTGACACTTCTGGGATGAAAGAGAGAGATTCTTAGAATGAAGTACACTGTGACATCTGCAAAACTTTGCCTTTGATGAGTCTCTTTGATGAGTCTTCTTATGCAATGTTCATTTTCCTCCCTCCGGGAAACAGAGGAAGAGTACAAAAGCTGCTCGTTTTCTGCAGATTTCAAGGCCACAGATTCGCTCGGGTACTTCTGCCAGCTGTGAGGAGGGATGGGGAACTTTCTCAAACAAAAGTTCTGCTGGTGATATACGTACACATGTAGTCATCAGCAAAACCCATGTTTTTCCGCTTTAAAAATGTAGGCCTTGACTTTGAGATAAAGCCGTAGGAGGGGTCATAAGACTTGCTTATTTCCCTCTCAAAACAGGAATCATTAATGACATACGTCACAGGACCTCATGCAATATTATATGAAATACAGTATGTGTGTTTCCGACTTAGATTTAACCTTACTGAATCACACTGGCATATTTTAATGATGTCACTTTGCACCAGCCCATGGGATAAATGCTTATTTCTGGATCTTACCAGCAAGACATTTGCAGGCCAAAAGCAGTAACAACGTGTATCTTGCTTGCGAAGCAGAAAAGAGGTGAAATTTATGATGGGGAACTGGGAAAGATAATTCATTCGCTGTAGTGATGGGATTAGCTCCTAAAAGGAAACGTAATAAAAACCTACCACCAGATGTCATCTTGAAGCTAACAAATAGCTTCCAAACTAGCAAGGACGAGGGATGCGGGGGAATAGTGAGACAAAACAAGAAGGCACTGGGATTTCTTTAACAGGGTTCAAGGCTGTGGGGATCGCTGCACCCTGGCATAGTGAATGACCATAGAGATGGAAATGTTTCAGAACTGGCTTTGTAAAGTCTTTTTTTAACTTGCTTAGACAAATCCCAGCAAAATGCGAAGCACTGAAATAGTAAGTTCAAAAAAATTGGTCTTGCTGAAAAGCCCCATTCTGGACCTCAGTTCTGCTTGAATGTCAGAGCGCAGAAGACAGTGATGGATCTGAGTAGTTCCATCTGCTTTGTCCCTGATTAAAATATGATGGGTATGATAATAGTCTTTAACAGTTTAATTACAAAAGCTTTGCTGCACCCTGTGTTTGAGCTGTCATTAGAATAGATGTTTGCATATGGTTGATATTTAACACTTGGGAGTGTGGGAAAATTTCCTGTGAAGGAAATCCAGAAGGAAAATGAAGAAAACAGGACAATCTTTTTCTCCAGACAAAGTACTTTTTACTCTGTTACCTATGCAGAAATTATTACATTTTTTGTAGTTAACTATACAGAGAAAGTTTCACTGTAGACTTGGGTGAAATTCTGAGACTAAAATCAATAAATTTTGGAGTAGAGATTTTAATCCATCTGTAAGGATAAATATCTGTTCAGTACGATTTGTAGAGTTGGTGTTAACATTTCCAACATGAAGCTTCTTCAAGCACATTTTGGATTGAGCTGAAAAGTTTGGATGTAAACTTAATGACAAAGGATAATGAGAAAACATATTGCTAATATTGTATGGCAAGGCTGAGTGACGTGCTCTTGTCTGAGACCCTTTTTAGTTATAACTCTGCCGGTTTTAACTGTTTGGGATTTGCTTATTCTAGCCAAGACTATAGCAAATGAACTTTGTTTTTTGAAGAGTTTCAGTAAAAATAGCTCAGCTTTTGCCAAAGATGAGGTCAGGGAAAAGAATCAGTCCCTTGCCAATGTAAAACAAAACCAACCCCCCCTCACAACCATTTAATGAGATGTTCTAGTCCTGCCGTGCTTTGGAATGGATACTTGAAGTTTGGCAGTGTGTCCCAGCAGGAAGAAAGGTATCTTGTTCTATACCTGTTACAGGCTGCCTACATGTGGAGAAGTTGTGATTTGAAAAATAACAGTTTGCATGCGAAAATCACAGACTTATTACAGCTTGGCAGCCAAAACTTCAGAATATTCGAGCTGCGTGAAGCAAGCTTCGGGCAGGACTCGAGGGGCTGCTCAGGATGTTCTGTGCAGCGAGCGCCTCTGACACCGCGACTGGGGTGCGCGCAGCTGGGAAAAAAAGGGAAGAGTTCCAGTAAATGCAGACGCTGCAAGACCTGGAGGGAGGAAGAGAGGAGAACGAGGGATGAATTCTGTGGGAAATATAGTGGGGGGACAGGTAATTAGGGGTAATAACGGCAGGGATGCGGCCACGGAGCCCAATTATGGTCACTTTGAAGCCGGGTGTTGCCCCAGCCGTGTGTAAGTAGCTGCTCGGGCGGAGGGGTGAGTGCTGGTGGCAGAACTGGCTGCGGCGCCGGTCAGGTTTTAGGGCGACGAGCCGGCGCAGCGCGGAGGCGCGGGGTGGGCGCCGAGGAGCCGCGGGCCGCCCGGCAGCCGCTGTCGGAGAGGGCGGGCAGCCGGTTACCGGCCGTCGGTTCCCGGCCAGCGGCTGCCGGCGCCCACCCCCGGCCCCCGCCTCCACCCGCGGGCCGGGACCGCCGGGACCCCCCGCTCCTCCGAGCCCGCTGGGCTGTCCGTCCCGCCGACAGTGTAACGCCCACCGCCGCCTATAAACATACGCGGATTGGCTTTCCCGCCCGTCCGTCACCGCGCGCACCGCGCTCCTACTGGCTAGCGCTCTTATTTATGACCCGCCCGCAAAGGCGTGACCAGTGAAAGCGAGGCGCCCCTAGCAACGCCCCTCTCTCTTTCCAACCACTGGCTCCCGCTCTCCTCTCGGGTGTTGTTGTCGCTCGTATGGTTGGTCAAACTGCCTGCCTCTCAAGTGGCTAACGACCAATTAGAAAGGGGTACTCACGTGGACTACCTGCGAGCCCCTCCGCCTGTTTTTCCTTCCTCCACTGGTCGAGCGCCACCGTCCATCCAGCCTCTCCCGGCGCCGATTGGCTGCTGGGGAGGGGGCGGCTCCTGATCGGGTGCCGCCCCGCCGCTGTGGGCGGCTCGGCGGCGGCGCTCGCTGGGGCGGGGCGGGCGCGTGAGAAGGCGGAGGCGGAGGTCGGGGGGAGGAGGAGGAGCTGTGGCGATCACGGCCCCGGGTCCCGCAGCTGGGCTGTCGTCCTCACATGGGGCCCCCTCGCTTGTCTCAGCGGAGGGACGGATCCTCGCCGGCTTGCTGAGGCGTGGGCCGGGGGTTGGCGGCGGGTGGGATATGCGGCCACGAGAGCCCGCGCCGCTCGCCGGGCCCTGCTGGCGCCGCCGCTCAGGTAACGGCCGGCGCGCGCGCTCGCGGCGGTTGGGCGGGGGGGGGGGGGGGGCAGCGCGCGACGAGCGGGGGGGCGCGTTTCTCCGGGGTAACCAGCGAGGGGCAGGTCCCTGCGGGGGGGACGGACGGACGGACCGACCGACGGACACCCACCACAGGCGGTTAGAGGGGGGAAGAGGAGCCGCTCCGGAGAAGGGCACCTTTCCAGCGGGGGGGAAGGGGCAGCCGGCGGAGTCCCGCCGCTCCCCCCCGCCTCCGGCCCCGGGGGGGTGCGTTTCGGTGAGCAAGGTGGGTGAAGGGGCTGCGTTCGGCCCGGGGGCGAGGCGTGAGGGGGGAGCGGCTGCTGAGGGGAAAGCCGGCTGCAGAAACCCGTGTCCTGGTCCGGGGGCAAGGGTCTGGCTGAAGGCGGGTAGGATCTTTGCCCAACCACATGAGGATTGCCTTGAAAACGGTTGCTTTGCCAAGAAGTGTGAAAGCTTGGCTCGGCTCTTGCTATTTTAAGTGCTACCCTGTAAGAATACATGAATCATGTTTTAATGACAGGCTCGGCTGTTCAGCTGTATGTGCATATATGTTTCCTTTATGGGCTTCGGATGAAAGGTGCTGTATAAATGCAGATGATCGCTCTTAATGTTGCATTCCTTTGAAGGTGGGAACTGTATTTGCTTTAGGTATGGGGGACTTCCCACTTGGCTATTCTGATAGGTGGTGCCCTGGTAGTTGAAAGCTAAAATTTCAAGAGTACCTAATTAAATATTAAATTTTATTTAAGTTAATATCTTTATGTGTTTCCCCCTAAAAAAAGACTTGCAGGTAATATGTAGGCTAATTTATGAGAAACCTTTATACTTCAACTGAAATTAATTAATTTTGTTTTTAGCAAAGATCAGAATTCTAGCATATTTTCTTGTCTGCAAAATCAACAGACTTACGCTTCTATGGGCTTAATTAGGCAGTGGAATTTACAACCTAAGATAAGACTCTTTTTTTTTTTTATGAGAAGCTCTGATATGCCCAGTGGACTAGCCATAAACCTTTCCATTTAGTCATCATCTTTGGAAATTATTGTTGCATACCATATCCTGATAGGCCAATAAAAATGTCATTTTCTGACTCTTGCAGAAGTATACTTTACAACTGTACAACTGTAGACACGGCTGTGTGATTCCATTGTCCATTTTGGTTTGTCTTCGTGTAAAACTTGTATGCAAAACATGAGTAGCTTGAACTGAAGGCAAAGGGGTCTGTTCCCTGTACCTGCTTGCAAGTATGTGCTCTCCTATGTTTTTTGCTTGGAATTTGTTTTGTGCTGTTTCATTAGGATGAACAGCTGGCAGTGGGGGCAGAGCAGGAGATGGGGATGGAGCAATCCTTGCCTCAGTGCTTAATATTTTTGTGACTCTGGAAAGAGAAAGATGGTCCAAATGAGGTGTTCTGGTGGTATAGGCCTGCTGCAGCCTAGTTAGACTATCCAATGCTATTTATTTGCTTTTGCCATTGTAATTATTTATGCAAATGAATTCACAAATTCATGAAGGAAATGCAGAGTTAAAGGAGGGGATTGTTGCTTCTCTGCCTGCTGCAGAAGAGAATGAAGCTTGTGGTTCCCTTGCATCATGAGTTGTCTTTCTATATTCTTCCTGTAGCCAAGAACCATGCGTTTGCACAATGGCAAAGCTTTTTATTGTACCCTTGCAGCATGGTATCTTGCAGCCTGGCACAAAAATAAGTGCTCTTCTAGGCAAGATCAGAGAAGGTCAGTGTTCATACTTTTTTTAAGCGCTTTTCCTGCTTATTAGTTCCCTAATGTATTCATTTGAAGTGGTGTATTTATCACTTAGTACATCTAATAATCAGCAACTGGATCGCGCTGGCTCCATCTGTTGTCTGTTGCCAAGTCCTCTTTCTGACTTAGATAGTAAGCTTCTTTTCATATGGTCCTGTCACTTTTCCATTATTTGAACACATTTCTCATAGTGGCTAAGCCACTTTTTGATATGATTGTCCCATGGGTTGAACTGGAGAACTGTAATAGCTCTTCCAACCAGGAGTGGAGTTAGTTGAGAGAACTTTGCTTTTGAAGTCTGACTTTGTATGCTCCAGGTCTGTGGCTCACAAACTGTGAGTTAGGCGTTTCCTCTTGGTACCCAGGGTGCTTCAGATTGTCATGTAAATACCAGCAGACTCCCCGTGTCTCCAGTACCTTAACAACAACAGATACGGGAAGCCCTGTTTTCACTTTGAAAATTTGTAAATAAATTAGATGAGACTGTGTTACTGTTCTGTTTGTGCAGTTGGTACCTAGGTGTTTCACCATAACATGAAACCAGTAACACGGACTGGTGTTTCAGCTATATTTTAAGGGTAGGTTACAGAATATGTTTTATATATTTGTGGAGATGATAATTTTAGCTGGAAAATACAAATCTTGACTGCCTTGTTTGAAGAATAGATGTAAGATTGTGTCCAAGAGAGGTCAGTCAGATACGAAATTCAGCCTGCTGACTTTATCTTCATCCCTCTTTCAAGTGTTCTTGTTCTCTTTTCTTGCCTTTGCTGTACTGAATTGTCTCACTGGCTGCACTGAAACAACAGAAAGTTGCTTCCCGTCTCCTGTGAACGCCCCACCAGTGCTAACAGAGCTGTCAGCCCTCAGTCATAAACCTGGCGGAGAGGCTGAGGGGGAAATTCCTTGATGACTGAGAAGTTACAATACCTGTTGGTATCGCAAGGCTTTGATTCCCTTTCTTTTTCTCAAGAGCTAAGCAAATGTCAGCCTGCTGACACCTGGAAGGCATGAGCTGCTTCTCAGTGTCTTTACTGAGCTCTGTTTTGTTAGGCAAACATAATATATTAAAATTATCCATTTGAAGCAGCAGTTGTGTATTGTATGTGATCTACTTGAGTGATTATCTCACTCTAATGATGCTCTGTGGATTGGAGTGACTAAAACCAGGCTAGGAGAGGAATGAACTTTTGCAAGGTCCTTCTGTAGAGGTTTAGTTTTGTGTTAGAATTGGACCCTAGAAAATGTTGGCAATTATACTGTGGGCATAAGCATCAGGTGGTTTTCTGTTTGTTTGTGGATTTTTAGTATTTCTCCCCCCTCCCCCCACCAGTTATATTTGCCTTCCAAATAAGTACCAGAATTTATGCCAATGCTTGATGCAAATATTTTTAAACCTACAACCTTGGCCTTGAATCCTGAGCTCTTCAGTAAGTTAATGGCTAGTCTCTCTTACTGGTTTCAAACTTGGCTACAGTCACAAAATAAATGAGCTGTTTGTTTCAGCTTCGCCTCTTGTGGAGGTTTGTTTGCATTACAAAACCACGATGCAGTTTAGCAGACTTCCAGTGGTATAGCAGGGCTAATGCAGGTCTCTTCTGAGGAATGTCAGCCTTAGTTGTGGGAAGTTTTATGCTATGACAGTACTGGCTAGAGCTAGGAATTATCCCCTACAGGGGAGCTGAAATTAAAGCAAAATGTTACCTAAATGAAAATAGAAAATGTTGAGATTTTCACGTTTGAGTGCAGTTGTAACTAAGACTATAAACTGGACCCTAAGATTTACCCTGTAAAAGTAGTCAAGAAGACGTCAGCTTCAGGATGAGCTGGGCCAAACATAGTGCAAGCTCTGGTACTTGTAGCTACCTTGTCAGTAAATACTTGATATTATCTTTCTCCCAAAGACAAGAAGTTAAGTTATGGACAAACCAAGGAACTTCCCTCTGTTAGGAAAGAGGATGACAGCAGTTGAGAGTAAAATTGTGGAATGCCTGGTTCTCTTTACCTGTTTAGTTTGATTTCTTGTGTTTCATTTCCAAACTTATTTTATTGTTTTTTTTTCTTTTCCAGGCTAATGATCTCAAAGTCAATTCAGTCTTTGGAAGATTTTGTTCTTTACATTCCTTTGAAGCTTTTCTGAAATTTGCACATTACTACAGTGAATTCTTCCTCTCCCTCCCCCCTAAGTTATTACTTTGTTGAGTGATATTTGCCAGCATAATTCCTTCATGTTTTCATAGTGCTGGGTTTTGAAGCTACATCAGACTATGAGTTTAAATAGTTAACACTTGGCAAATGACTTATGTCAAAGCTTTGGCATCTTGTTCTTCAGAAAACCTTTTCAAATTAATAACATGCATCCACCAGATTTATTGCTTTCCAGGCTGAATGCCTAGCGACAGTCTTCTGTGTCTAAAAATGGTTGTTGTTGTTAAGGCCATCTTTTAAGAAATTGTGAGTTTGACATTTGAGTGCAAATATGCACATATTTATAAAGATACTGCGGACAGAAAATGTCTTGGTAATGAATTGAAATGTTTTGTTGAAGGATCTTGTTTTATGCCCTGAGGTATTAAAGACATGCTGCTAAAGTTGAGAAGCCTTACACATTTCTATGTCTATGAAGTATAAAATGTTAAGTATTGGCCTATATATGTCACCTGTTAGTTTTACATTGATGTGTGTTGTATAACTTGATGTGTTATTGTGGGATTTCCATCTTTAAATATTTTCAGGCTTAGGCATTGGTTCTGAAAGCCAAACCTCTAATTAACCAAATAAATGCTGATAGTATTTGTGTTTATAGTAATTTCTACAATTAAAATATCAATGCATTCATGCAGTGGAGAAGCTGATCTTAATATAGTATTAACTTTTTTTTTTAAGTTTTTTTTTTTTTTTTAGCCAATAAATTAAAATGTGGTATGGTATGAAACATTCTGAAATTCAGTAATGTAATAAATGGATGAGTAGGTCAGATATGCACTTTGGGAGGTGTATTTCTGAATTATTTTTGTCTTGGTAGAGTGGGGTGCATTCTTGTGTAAGGATGTTTGACAGCTGAGAGTTTATTGGGGGAATGTTTTTTTAGAGTGTTTAGTGTCTTTTTTTAAACTGGCTGTTGAGCGCAGCTTAAGAGTTTTTAAGATGAACTTTAATAGGAAGAAAACCACCCAACAACCTTTTAGTTGGTTGCAGGATTTGCTGGATAGTCTTGGATTCTGTTCAGTGCACTTTAATTAACCATACAAGGTAATAAATTAAAGTACCTCAGACTGACTTGACAGTCAATTAAACCTTGGTTGATTTCATTGAGAACGTGATCATTAGTGTATGTAATTGGCCAAAATGACAGGAGGCCCACTTGGAGTTGTGCCCACTTGAAATTTTCCTCTAATTCTGTGTATGCAGTCCTGGGCAGAATACTAGATAAATGGAGCTCTATCCTAATAATTTCCAAGGATTTCATGTAGCTGTCTGGAAAGAAGGCAAAGTCTAGCAGGCAAAAGTGAAGGAACGGGTTACTTGGGAATCCAGATGGCAAAGCCTTTTGGGGTTTATGTTGTGTGAAGTACTTAGAATCTCTTCTTTCATTGTGGGATTTGTATAGAGTTTTGCAAAGTTCACCATGTGATTTCAATCAGAAGGATGTGTATGTGTGAGGGAGATTTGTGTGTGTGTGTGTGTTAAATAGATTGAGAGACTATATTGAGAGCTGATTTTTTGTTAATGGTATCTGGATACTTAAAAAACAGAGTTAGGATTTTCCTCCTGTTGAAGACCACTTACCTAACTTGGTGTCTTCCTTTAGTTAAGAAAACCACAGTCTTCCCTATTTTGTTTTTGCATGTGTCTTGCTCTGCCTGAAAACTTAAACTTACAGTCCTGCTTTACAAGTTGTTTTAGTTTGCTGGGCTGTAATGTGCATGTGTTGTTTCACTAGATTTAGCAGGGGTGTCTGCAATATCCAGGGTCTACTTCACATGTCATTGCTGTGATACTGGAGTGTCAGACTGCAAAGGGGACAGATACTTGCTCCTTTCCTTGGAAAGTGTCAAGGGTATGTGAGTACTACTCTGATGCAAAAAAGTTCTAAAAAGTTGTTTCTTCAATTACAGCAGGTTTTCTGTTCAGTCTCCAAAGATCCTTGCACCTCCTGTTCCAGAAAATGAATTGTTAACACCATGGTTTCCTGTCTATCCTCCTTCAATAGACAGTTCTTTCTTTATCTCCTTGAAAATTAACCAAATGATTGTCCCTTTCAGATCAAAAGGAATTATTTAAGCATGCCTTGAAAATTCCTGGGCATCTTCCCTATAGCTGAGGAGGTTTTTCTGGGCTATTTTTCTCATCTGGAGAGCTATAACAGGCTTTATCTTCCCATGGTGCTTCTGTACCATTTCCAGACCCTCAAGGCTCATGGGGCAAGAATATGAGGTCAGAAATTGGATCCTGATCTTCTGTGTGGCAGTTGGCCACACCATAACAGTAGACTATGTAGTACTATCATCTGAAAAGTGTAGTAAGCTCATTCCTGTAGGAGTCTGCATATAAAATTCTGTAGGAATACCATGATGTGGGATTTGGTAGAGATTAAATTTTCTTAATCAGGCCCTGGTAAGACTTTCCTATACACACTGAGATACATTTAGAGATGTATGTGTTAAGATGTTTGAAATAAACACACTTGAAAAATATAGAAGTTTTTTTTGTGTGTGTGGTGGTGTGTTTTTCCCCCCCCCCCCCCCTTTTTTGGAGAGGACAACATCAAATTAATTCCACACGTTCAACAGAGCTTACTACTGAAGGCAGGGAAGGATTATGTGTTTTTCTGATGTGTTGGCACAGAGCATCTCTGAAAGATACACAACATGCAAAACATGGGTATAACAGCATTGCTGTATATTTAGATGACAGCTGGTATGCCTCTGTTTTTGAGACGCTCTTCAAATTTAGTGTACTGGTCAGGTTCTGTACATCTGTGTATAATAGAAGTATAATTGCCTGGCCTGATCCCTGCTTTGTGATTAGTTTGTCCACCATTTAAAAATTTTATTTTATTGTTTCCTTCCCGTCACTCCAGTTTTTCTTTCACTCTCAAGGAGGGCAGGGCAGGGGGAGAGAGAGAAAAATCTGTCCTCTTTGTGACTGCTTGCTTTGCTCAGGTTTTGTAGGGGTTCACCAAATTGCTATAAATGAACAGTTAAGTGTGGAAAAGATGAATAACCTCCTGAGTCTAAGGTTTAAAGAAAAAAAAAAAAATTAGGCCACCTGTCAAGTCTATCAGTCCAAGCTGAATTTGATGGGCTCCAGAGTCATCCCAATTACTTCATCATCCTCTTAAAAAGAAAAAATTCCCTGACTGTTGTTTTTTTCCTTTTTTTTTTTTTTTTTTAATTTTCTTGGCAAATGGAGCTTGTTTCCTGTGTTTTCAGTTGAACTGAAATTAATATAGCTTCAAAAAATGTGGTTGTGGGGAGAATTGTTCTGGCAGTTTCTTGTAAGAATACTTTGTTTTTGTTTGAGGATTGTTGATGTTTTTATAAATTTGGGGTCTAGATCTTTAGTGGATTTAAACTTGTGTTCCTACCAGTTAAGGAATTGGTCCTGGAACACTCATAGGTGAAAGCTTTAAAACCAGAAGTTTTAAAATAACAGCTACTGTTATTGACAGCTAATATTTTTCCTTACGTCAACTGAAAGTTGATCTGTTTTTTATAGCTGGAGATCCTTCGTTCAGTCCCTAATGTAAAATGGTTTCTTGCAATAGCAGTGGATTGGTCACCAACTGCTACTGAAGTAGAATAGAACGTTACATTTTGTGGGTTTCCTCCTGCTTAGTTGCTTGCTTTAGCAACCATAACTTAAGTAAAAAGGAAGGGGATGGCAGGGGCGAAATGTAAGTTGTTACCAGTTAAATTCTGTGTTCCAAACCTATTAATCTTGTAATAGCCAGAGCATAGGGTATTTCCATGAATCTAAAGGAGAAGTTAATTGGATTGTCTGTCTTTACTGATGATGCTGTGTGGTTGGTTGTGGTGGTTTTTTTTTCTTCTTTGTTTTTTCATGTTCCTACTCAGGTATCTTCTGCTTTTTTCTTATTCCCTTAAACCGGTGTAAGCTGTGCTGGAGCCCTGTCAAATTTATTAGATATGTTTACAGTAATGGTAATCTCAATTTCTTGTATTTCAGGATCCAACAAGAATAGAGAAGACAACAAATTACCTAAGATGTGAGAAGTCTTCCCTTAGCAAAATAAAACCTTGTTTTCAAAATGGACCGAAGCAAAAGGAATTCAATAGCAGGATTTCCACCACGCTTAGAGCGTGCTGAAGAGTTTGACGGTGGCACTGGAGGAGAAGGGACTGCATCCCAATTAGGAAGAGTTTGTACCTCTTCATACAGAGCCCTGATAAGTGCCTTTTCCAGACTTACTCGTCTTGATGACTTCACGTTTGAGAAAATTGGCTCCGGTTTCTTCTCTGAGGTGTTCAAGGTATGCATTTAGTTCTTTTCTCTGTGTTGTGTGCTTCATGTTTGATGCTGAGAAAGTACGAGAGTATCAGGAGAAGTACTTTTCACTGGAGTCAACCGTTAATTCTTGTGTTTGCTTTACTCAGGATGAGTGAGTGATGAAGAACTTGCAGATCTCAAATACTTCCTCTGCCACTCTTCCAGCTGTTTTTATTACTTGTAATTTATTTGGGGAGTTGCAGAGGCTGTTTGGGTGAAATAGTAATAGCTTAAAAAAATGGTTTATTTTTTTGGTCTCTGCTATATATTTTTGCTTTTATGCAGAGTATTAAACACCAATGACTATTGGTTCTCTCATATGTAAGAGTGAATGTCTTTAATTTAGCTAGTTTATTAGTTTTGTGGGATTGTACTCATTCCTTTGATAGTCTTTGCCTCCCAACACTCGATGCATGGGTTAGGAGATCTACACGATTACTGAATTTGAAACCACAAAATTTATTGCACTGAAGTTACAATACAATTAGCTGCTCTTCTCTGTTTCCTTTGCTGCTTGTTATGCCATGACAGAGCTTGGTCTGAAGTAAATAGTATGAATGAGAGAGGCTGATGTCAGTTACTTGCTACTATGAATCTGGGAAGTGGGTAAGATCTTTGTGAAGCAATTTGTGAAATCCTACAGGCAATGCCAGTTTTATAGTGCTGGTGATATTTCTGCTGTTGTGACTATTCTGGTAAAGTTTATTGTAGAGGAATAGGACATTGAGTTGACTTCTAGGCTTTCAGGCATTGTAAAAATAATTTGATTCCTTGTCCTAGTTCCTGACTTCATTTAAAGTCACCCTCCAAATTACTTCAATTTCAGTGAAATGCCAGAAAACTTTATCTCATAGTATATTATAGCAATTCCATGACACTTGATGTGGTCTTTTCGTTAACAAGTTAAACTCAAAACCCTCTTATCCAGCTTTATTGCTGTGAATAGATATGCGAATTATAAATCTAAAATTATGTTGTTTTAATACCCAAAGACATTCACATCTCTATATACATATCTTCTCTTGTGTAAAGGCAAGTCACTCCACAGAAGTTTTCCTGTTTAGCTAGATAGATGAAATTTAATTTCCACTAGCTCAAGTTTTGAATTATTTCAGTTGGGTAGACATTAAGGATTTTATTTGTGGTATGTAGGATACTTGGGACAGGTCAGCTTTTTATAAAGCTAGCTTGTATACCAATTTAAAACAAGGTTTTGTTTTTGTTTCTTATTATTTTCCTGTTTGGAGAACTTTCTGTAATGCATTTTGTAGCAACTGTCTTTGTATCCAGACATTTCTTAATGTGAAATGACCTGGCTTTTGAAGTTCTATGTGCCACTGGAACTCATCTTTACAGCTTTTATGGTGAAGCTGCTGTGAAGTATATAAGGATATCAACAGACTTGGGTCATCTCTAAGTATCTGGGGAATAACAGACCTTGGTTTGTTTGTGTGAATTTCAGAATTCATGTTTTGGAGTAGTTTTGTCTTAGGTTTATCTCAGTATTGCTGATTAGACATTGTGGCTTTTCCTATTCCGTAAATTCAGGATTTAGCCCTCTTTAATACTTGAATTTTCCGGTATTTAGGTTATGAATTTATCCTACAGTGGTATTGCCAATCATATTTATGTTAGGACTTCAACAAGTTTTGTAGTTGAATAGCTACATTCTTTGTGAACAGATTTATTAGGTGAAATAGCTATAATATTATACCATGTATTGGTGGGGAACATCATGGAGAAGCTCCCTAAAGCAAGGTGCTTGCATATCCAGCAGAAAGGTATGGTATTGATAACCATTAGGAAACAAAGGCGGGGAAAAAGTGCCTAAAAGTAAAGGTGAATTTCCAGCATTCATAGTAATTGATTAATAAAGAATATCTTATTTTAGGAGAGCACTGGGTTTAGTCAGGTAGTGGCATACAGAGTTAAACAGCTGTTTGAGAATTTGTTGATTGGGAGAAATCCCTGATATCCAATTTACCTTCCTGTGCATAAATAATCTGCTAATTTTAAAAATCTTCCCCTGACATTTCACTTTCAGTAAGCTAAACTAGACATCACATGGTGTCAGTCTGCAGTCAGTGGCATTACTCTAAGAGGGCAGTGGTAGTAGTCTGAGTATCTAGTGTCTGTTTTCCCAGAAACAACCACAGACCTCCTGCAGGGAGACAATGAGCGATAAAACCTTTTCTTTCACATCAGTTTCAAACAAGGTCTCTCTTCAGTTTTGGCACAAAGGGGTGAGAATGCATTATGACCTTATCTTAGATGCGGTTCCATACTCATTTAAGCAGGTTTCTGTTCTGCTAGTTTATCAGCCTGACCACCTCTGTCATTAATCCTACTGTGCTGATGATCAGATTTCATGCAAGAACTTTGATGTGCTTCCAGGAAGGAGAGACTCATGGTTTGACACAGTTCAGTCTGATCTGCAGGCTCCCAGCTGAATGACTGAACTCAAGAAAAATCCAGGATAGTTCTAGATTTACTGAATAAGTAACTTTACAAGAGCAATGAAGCCTTCCCTTTAAACTAGCAAAGATGTCTCAAAAAAACCTGATGTCAGCAGAGCCATTTCAATTTTGTATTTGTCTGTTGTGTTGTATTATACATTGGGTTCACTCATTGGACTGTTTTGAGGGTTTGGGATTTTTGTTTTGCTATGTAACTGACAATTGTTTTCTGTGATTTCTTCCCCTCCATCCTTTTCTGTGGAAACTCCTTTTTAAATAAAGTATATCACAGTGGATAGAAGTTTCCTTCTCTTAACTTGGGAATAGGACTACATTACAGTTTATATGTATATATTAATGGTCATATGTGCTATGAATGATCTTTTAGCATTTCTAGTGCACCTTTATTCATATACAAATTAAAGTTCATGGTTTATTCAGCATAAAGTATTAAACTAGCATTTTGAGTTGGTTACCCATCCCTGTAACGCTTCAAATTCATGTTCACCTGAATACTGTTGTAGAAACTAGTTTAGAAAAACTGAATTTTGTCAAACTATTAGCAATACATTTTGAAGCAGCTGCCTGACTAGTGCCTGTTCTAATTTTCAATGGCAAGTGCAGCACACTGAGGTTTGCTTTTAAGATTGAGCTAGGCAAAGACTGTTTATATAAATGAGCAATGCCTAGCCATGATCCCAAACCTTTAAATTCCTAGCTGGGAAGACCAGTAAGGGCTGATGGAGCCATAAGTAATTGTGGGGAGATAAGCATCATACTGAAACTAAATAGCGTATTAGGAAATAGAAACTATTCATTATAAAATGTGTGTGTTGGAACAGCAGTCAGACTAAAATCCAGGATCATCTTCTATTCAAATATGCCTTCAAGTTCAAAGTCAGTAGTAAGTATGCAAGTTGATGTAAAATTCCTTCGGGAGTTCTTGTTGCCTCTGCATTCTGTAGATGAAGTTTTGAGACTGGAAATACTTTGACACTTTGGCTGAATGTTAAAAATGATCTTTTTTGTAGTTTATTATTCATGTAGACATGAAAACAGGCATCATTGGTCCAATATAGAATTGTGCAAATTCAGTGTCATGTGTGTTTGCATGTTGGGAAGGTTGTGTTGCTGTACAGGTGTGGTCACTGGGGTGTTTGAGAGTTTTGATGGCTGAAGAATGGTGAAGTCTTTTGATATCCAGGGAAGAATTAATGGTTTTGACTTGGGCAGTTCTGGATGCTAAAGTAGTTGTTTCACTGTGGACAGTTCTGCTGTCTTAAATACACCTAGCCATCTAATTAGCAGTACTATCAGAAAGTAATTCAAGAGGAAGAAAACCTTTATGTTTGGGTCACTGATTGGTTCTGTAGTACAGGGACACCTAATGGGCTTAACGGTTGAAAGCTTCCTCCTCCCCAATAGCTAGAGAGTTAACATAAGAGGGAGAAAAATAGTTTCTCTTTGTCAGGGAGCATGCTCTGACAAAACTGCTAAAGCTAGTGCAGCCTTCCAAAGATTATTTTTGGGACAGGCAGAGATCAGATTTGAAGACAGAACTTAAGTCAACAAGGCCACAGTCTTCACCACTTCAGACTGCTTTTAACCTTGTAGGAGTCAAGAGATTTATTATTCAGAATCAGTCATCAGAGAAAAAGAATTCCATCTTATGAAATACTAACTATACTGACATATTGCTTAGAGTATCTTAAGCATACACCTAGGAAGGTTATTCATGTGAGCAGTGGAAAAGGTGCATAATACCTTAAAAAAGATCAGTTAATGAAATGGTTGTTTAATGATGGATGGTCAAAGATGAGCCTATGAATATGAGATGTATAAGATGTAATGCAAAATAAACTGCCTTTTAGAGCTGAAATATTAAGCAGCAGAGCATGGGTGTCTCCAAAGAAAAATTTTGAGATGGAAATCAGTCCTCCCATTTCAGCATACTTACTGACAGCACCAAGCACTAAGCACTCTGTTTATGATCTCCCATAACTTGAGATCATTTATGCAGAACTTCTGGCTACACAGTTTTCCCATTTTTGCACCTGTGAAGCAGATTTTACCTAGTAATCCCTACTGTGTTAAATAATGCTACCTTTTTCCCCCCCCTCCCGCCCCTCCCCTCACCCCCATGTTGCCCCCCTTCAAGCATTTCTTAATTTTTCAAGATCACTTTGAATTCTAATACTGTCTCAGAAGTGCTTGGCCTTCCTTCACTTCCTGGATTAACTTCAGGCAGATTCCTCAAAAGTCCTACTAGATAATCTTACCAGTTTACTTGTGAACTACCAGCTATGCTTTTCGTTATGATTTTACATTCCTGCTTTATAGTAGTTCCTTCCAGATCACATTTGTCTGTCTTATTTATGAAGATGTCTTGTAAGATGCATTGAAGCTGTATGAAAACCAAGGTACAATGACTCGTAGTGCTGATATGACGTGAATACCCTTGAGAAACAAATGCTGAAAATAGTCAGTGCCATTCTGTGATGTATTATGGACTCCATAGCCTATGAAA